GTTACATCTGGTTGTTATTATTCTAAAGTTACTTTGCTTAGGTCAGTATATGTGTACCATTGTAACGTTTTTAGCTAAAATGGATGTACGCATTACAATTCAATGAGATCACAAGTCGCTTCGTCTGACATTTGAACATATCTTTTCAAATGTATTTGTCTCCATTAAATCATTAGTCATGTAATGTRTTTTTTTCAGATATTGACGTGTGTGGTCATATCTGCCTGGACAGTAGTTGTTGTACTTATCCAATTCCTGATTATTGATAAGATGTTAGGGCTGAGAYTATCGATTGAAGAAGAGTTTCTTGGTGCAGATGCTATAGAGCATGATTTACATTATCAGAGTGATGTGAACAGTAATAAAAAACAGGTGTCAAAGGTTACCAAAAGAAATATTATTGAACCAATAAGCCCAATCCTCCAACTGGAAAATCATCGGCCAACTACGTCTTGCTCAGACGACCAGGAATTACCATTGGAAAAAAGAATGATAAGTATAGAAGAAGATGAGGCAGAAATGGACATTGAGCATGAATTGATTCGACGAACCAAAGATAATTCTTTTAAACCACGTCCTCGCAAACCGAACGTGAAAATAATAGTCACACCTCCCAGCAGACAAGGCAACCATCTTCTTTGAATGATATCAACATATGAAAGCTATTGTACGCGTTCATTCAGCAAGTATCAAACAATCAGTTTCATTCCTCGAAACTGAATGAACTCTGCATGGACTCTTGTTTAAAGGGATATGTCGATAGCAGCTCTGACTTTTAATTTTGATTAAGAGGTGGAAGTTTTGATTAGACGTTTTAAAGAAACAGCAAATGGTGTTAGCGGYCAACAACSTTTAGAAAGTTTACTCTAAAATTACAGAAAGTCAGAGAATATAAATATTAATGCTGCTGACTGTTATAGATTACGTCTATTTTGATTCCATCAGTATAAAAGTAGTCTTCACGGTAAGCAAAAACCACAGCATGAAAGTTTCAATTGGCACATTGATAGATGTAAATTCTTTGTTAATGACTGCAATTAAGCTTTATCCTTCATCCTCGTACGTAATTATTAAATTGTGCACAGTTTTGAATTGCATGTCCTATTACTGACACACTCTTGACGTCATAGAGTATTGAAAAAAAATTTTAGTGGACCCAAGACCTCAGCGAGGGCATACAACAACAAATAAAAAAACGTTTGCACTAAATTTTTATCCCATATTTAATCTAAAAACGAAAATAATTATTTTCTTTCAAATGAGCGCGTGGGCGAGAAATGATGGTGTAAGCAAAGTGTGCATTTCCTCTTAWTAACACACTCTAATCAGCGAATAGATCTTCGCACGAAAATTAACACAAATGTAGTAAAATATAATATTCTTGAAAACGTTCTTGCTATTTTTCTTATTCATTATTGAAGATGACATAAACTAGYATTCATGACATCAAGGATGTAGTCGTAACGAATAAAACTTCGAAGCGCGAAGGTCCRTTGAGAATAATTGGGAGAAGACAATGTTCCCAGTGGCTGGTTGTACGAAGAGTGAATAGCACTATCTACGGATTAATCTCTACTCAGTCGTTAAAGTCCATACTTCGTACAACTTCTACTTTAGTTATAGGTCAAGTATCAAAGACTGCTCATATACATTTTATTTGATATGCAGTGACTCTTATTCCATCATATGGTAACCATATGAAAAAGCAGCATGTTTTGTATTGTTGTCATTATGATATAGGACCATGATTGATTCCCCAACTTTGCCTTTCGTAACTTGGGTTCTATTTAATTTCTTTTTCCGATAGGGATGCTGCTCATTGTGTTGCAGAAAATTATCTTCTAATCAACTGATGAGTCGGCAGTATTTTACTGGCTTGCTTAATTGTTAAGATTTATACGAACAAACGAAAATCAGCGGAAACGGAAACAAACATACTAAACGGAAAGGCAATTTAAAGGATATTTAAATAAATATAGCTAAAGAGAAAGTACGTATGAGTTAACGGAATCAAATACACATGACGCGGGTAGCGACTATAAGTTTCATCCTGCTCTACACAGTATCGAACACTCTAATGAAAACTGGAAGACCGACCACTAATAGCAAAAGAAAAAGCTATATTGCGTCTATTTTTAAACGTTGGTATACCTCTCTACAAAAAAATACTATTCACTTATTTATATTTCCATAAGTCCCCTGATCTTCTCCTGAATGTCCCCCTTCCTAGCTAGTATAAAACTACACTACATTATATAATTTCACTGAAGAAGCCATCAATCCTACCATGGTGGTATAGTAAGGCATACTATAATTCTTGGCCTAACGTTAGGGTTGTCATTTAAAGCAGACGCGAATCGATACACTGCGTTGGCACTTGTCTCCTTTCTTGTTTTTACCATGAGCCCGTAATTTGGTTGTCTGCGGATTTGCCAGTTTCGAAGAGCATGCGCAATGTCCAGAGTAACCCACCTGTTCTTTTCTGTTGTGAAGAGAGGCGCACTTAGTGAGATTCTTAGAAGCAATAAGAGAATAAACAATATATTAGGGAAATAGAGAATCTTATGCACCCTTTTATTATTATGTCCCGATGTATTGTGTTCTCCGCGCTTGACGTCAAATTTATTTTTTTGAATTCCTTTTGTATTTTAAAAATCTCAAAAGAATAAATTTGACGTCAAGTGCGGAGAACTCAATGCCTCGGGACTTATTCAAAGGGTGTATATATCATTTTTATACATGGAATAAAAATATGCTCTTCCATTATAATTGCCTTGCTAAATCATGTTTTGTATAAAAGTCAAGTCTGTCTCTTTATTTGAAATGGCGATGTTATTGTAATCATCATCACATTTGAATGAGAAAAATGGGGGACCTTCGAAATCTAAAACAATTTCTTTGAAATTTAAGGAATATCTTCTTCCGTCTTTCCAATAACGTCGGCCAGAAACCTATAAGGGACTTGAAACGTGTAGCGCCGTTGGAATATTCAAATCCAACTTGCATCTCATTTCCTTATTTGGAACAATTCAATTTACCCTAGCCAACCAGAACGGGCCTTAAATCTGTTATCCAACGTCCGAATTTTCCAAATATGGCCATAACGTTCGTTTTCGAATTTTTATTGAACTTTGAATATTCCTACGCTTAGTACTAAAGAAATGTACGGGCGCTACACGTTTCAAGTCCCTTGTAGGTTTCTGCATCGATAAAACAGTACTCAATATGAACAGAGCTAAATCTATCATAGAATGATAACTTTCTATCAACAACTTGTTCTACTTATGCCATACTTGGATTCGTTTCTTAGCATTGTTTTAATTTCTTCTTTTGTTTCTTSACACAGTATGAATAAACCATTTCTCACATACCTTGCATCAACATCACTTCCAAGTCCTAAGTAGTTTTCATGCCAAGGTATCACTGCTGTAGTATTATAAGCTGACCAATCAGTACTCAGTATTTGATAGACCTCCAGATTATTAGCAGGAATATCAAAGCTGTGGACTCCAGTATTGCGCTGAACATCAATAAGATATAAGTACAAAAACGCGGAATGCACTATAGCTCTTCTAGTTATCTTCCTGGTATCGAATTTAAATAGCATTCTGTGTTTTGATTCTCCATTGTTTTTACCAACAAATAGGTATTTACGCTCGGCAGAGTTTTGGAAATGTTTGTTGATGCTGAGAGATTCGGTAGCGATGAAAGTAAAGTCAAAATCCGTGGGATGTCTTTCTAAAAAAACAAAAAACAAATAGTTTGGCATACTTGAAATATTAGCTAATGAAACTAAATAAATATTCAAATGACAAGAAAATAAATAAAATAAATAACAAGGACGGACAACATAAGAAATAAAAGTAAGAGAAAAAGACAAATAAATRAARGAAAGGCATGAAAACAAATTAGCGAAGAAAAAACAAACACACAAAAAATAGATTACAATTTTATCTACAAATTGATAAGTTTACTATTCATGAAAGCCATTCCCTTATAAATGATAGTATTATCATGAGTTGTAGATATTTACCACTGCAAGTCAGAGTTGGTGGTCTAGTCACATCTGTAATTTGTTCTTGGGCTGGTTCTGTAGGAACTGTAAAATCAGATTGTTACACCTTTTGTGCACACAATATAGTGAAAATGCAGCTATGGAGATCTTACATCAGTGGTCACATGTTGGACATTTGACGTTTCTGAATTGTCTAGCATTTTTCTTTTTTTGGTCACTTATACCATCTACGTGTATGACGAGGCTGTAATGCATGTATGCTGTGCAACAATTCAGAGGTGCATGTTTGTTAAATTCTGCATACAAAACATAGTGTACATTTTATGTCGATATAACAAAGATTATGGTCAGCGCAATCATAACATCTTTATAATATATACTAGTCGTATGTCAAAATCTTGACATGTAAATCGGCCATACTCAGTGATTGTCTTACCACGGTAAAGGCTTCTTTTATCAGTGACTTTGTAAGGAAAATACTGATTAGGTGACTTCTACTTTTAACTGAACGATAGATTACCTGGTCTACGAATATCAGAGCACAAAAACCGGAAACGGAAATCACGACAAGTTGTCTTTGGCGATCGTTGTTCACTGTTACGACAGTACACACCAACCAGCGGTTCACAGTGGACAATCTGATCAGCCTGTTYTATTGGTGAACCGTCCAACATTTGACACTGGATGTCAACCACTGAATTGCGACAAATCTGTCTTCCTAAAGACACTGCCCAGGTCCCTGTTGGAGTGCGCACGGTATTGAACCACTGAGATGGAACAACAGAGGGCTGACTAGAAGGTTTGACTAAAGAAAAGAAAAAAGAAATAAAGAGAAATAAATTACTAAGTTGTCGACAAAAATACACAAATTAACCAATAACCGAAAGGTACAGTGGGTAAAACGAGTTGTGACATAATCTTTGTAAGWATCATTGAATTTCGAGATGTTCTTATGTCATCCAGTAATGACAGAATAGATAGGATAGTTTCTAACCGTGAAAGTATTAAAACAAATCTCACGATTAGCTGTATTCTGAAAGGTTTGCACTCTCTCTCTACTGACGATGACAGATCGAAAGCATTGCTTAAGTTTTTCTGATGTTGATTTTTTTTTGCACGAACACTGTTGTCAAGTAGACCATAATAATTTCAAAGTTATGATCGTCATATGTCAKGTCAAAATATTGATTCTCTGAACGAATTGTAGCGAGAAATGTATGCCATACAAATTCACTTTTACCATTATACTGATATACACCTACTTGCAGAAAATTGTCATAGAAAAGTTGAGAAATTGATTTTAAGAAATTCTTCTTTAGTACGTTAATAATGAATTATTAATGACGTCAGACGCGGAAAACCAATGATATCATATCAGGATGAAAAAACATTTAAATCTTATTACTCTATCTAACGTTACTTCTGTTCCTATTTTCAGTTGCTTGTAATCCGAATTGACGTCACAGAAACCATGTTGGCGGTACCTCATGAAAATTCCATGCCACCAATATAGCCACCAACCTTTAGTACGTTAAATCTCAAGGGAATCATYGAAAAACAGCAGTTTACAAATTTACTACTAAATTTGAAATTTGCGACGACAATCTTTTTGCAATTAGGTGTATTCCAGATATATATCAGATTTTACCATTGTTTTCTTTCCAAAGCCTTAGATCCATTCTAGGAAGCTGCAAGCATATCATTCGCTTGTCACCCAACGATGGAGCAATGAAAGCATCACGCTGTATGGATACTATGCCAATCAAGTTATCACACATTATACGTGACATGGACGCTTTTTTAATCTCAGAAAGCTGTTCCTTATTAAAGACATCGGGRTTTTCGTACCAGAAACGATCTCCATCACGTAATCTTTTAAACTGCTCTTTGATAATACAATGAAATGTTGGTCCAAGGATTGATCCATTGAGAGGCTCCTCGGCAAGACCGCTTACAAAAAGATCCGCATTCTCAACCGATCCATTATACAGACGGTCTAATATTCGTCGGCTCTCGGCGTCTTGAATCTCATCAAGCGTTTCTTCAAATATTTCCGCGTGTGTAAGGTTGCATTCTCGTCTCCAGACTCCATACCCAGGGAGACCGTGATCGCGCCCGCGTTGAATATTCAAAGCGGCCAAGTCGAACCCATGCTCTGACTCAGGCTGTTGAAACAAATGCCTCGTCAAACCAGCTGGCATTTCTTTATCGACATCCTGCGAAACATTAGCTAAAAGCCCGAGTAATATCGGCTTAACACCGTACTTCTGAACGAGCTTGTTATTAAAAAATGCTTTTATGAGGGGAATCTCTGCCGTGATGGGCTCATAGTTGGAATCCAGCAAAGAAAATGATGGTCGAACTGTACTATGTCCAAATCTAAACGCTGCTGTTGCAAATACATTTAAGATAGTCGGATTGACATTGCTGTAACCTTTATAACGAGGAAGGGCGTTGGATCCCAATATTTTAGGAAGATATTCATTGTATGTTATATGCTGCAACTGTGCACCAACGATTTTCCTGGCTTCCTGGTAAGTCTTGTCTCCATTCCAGTGTGGATTCAACAAGTTCAGCTGTTCTACAATTTTATTGTGTTCACGAAYCCATAACGTGTGCATSGAGACTAACGCAATCTGATCGTTAACACGAATGTCACCTGCGTCGAAGCAACCCCCGTATATYTGGCATAGATTCAAYGGTGCTTTTAGCGTTGACTTGACGTAAGGGAGGAAGTCGTCACTTGACGTTCTCATGTATCCTCTATTACCTAAAAAACRATAAGAAAGTAATAAAATGGAATGGATGTTATTAAATGCTCTTAGAGACTAAGTTTAATGCTTGATTTCAATCCAGTGATCCTTCTATTATCGATCAGTTGATTTAACTGAATTGTTATGTAAATTTATTGATATTTTGACATAAAGTCGCATCTCTCATAAGAATGTCAAGTGATCTGATATGGGTGCAATTTGCACATGAAGGTAATAAGAGGGTCTAGTGTGTCATATATTGCACTTCCATTAGTTCATYAATGATTGATTGTTCATCTTTAAGACTTGTGTTGTATATATAAATAATCTACAGCATTCCTTAGAAAACAATCATATRACCCTAAAACCCAAACAACTGTTTCTACTACTATAGTGTTTCAAGCGACTTACTGATAATATCTCTCAAATTCGTGGCTGTAGAGGCTGAAGAGCCATAGATCTGAGAACCATCTATATATGACGTCGCAGTATTCAGCTGCTCACGTGGTGTGATGTTGCTGTCRTCACTTTGACARGCAGCCGCTGACCGTGTGAACATCGTACATTCATTGTTGTCGGGATACATGATAGGGAAACATGGCTGCTCGTAGTCCTCTGGGGAATTGTCACAGCTTAAACAAATAAAACCAGACAACTRTTTGCGAATTGCCGCCGTCTGTCCGCCATTTTGTCTCCATCTCAWAGTTGAATATTAACGCAAATTGACGTCATGCTATTGTGACATCACGGTGTTACAGACTTGTGGCCATTCTAACATCGGGCGATAACAAAGTGGATACTCCACGTCCTAAGGACGGCGCGCGTGTCTCCGTCCTCTGATATAAACACTATGTGAGTTCGAAAAACACGAGAGAAGCAAGCTTAGGAACACGAGCGAGTGTTTCTCTTGCTTCTCGAGTGTTTTTCAACTCCCACCGTGTTTATATCAGAGGACASAGACACAAGCGGCCGTTTTATATTTCTTTTATAAAATGTTTCGAGCGAAAAGAAAATTTTGCCGGTAATCCGTGTCTCTGTCCTCTGATATAAACACGGTCGTCAGCCAATCAGAGCGCGCGTTATATATCAAAAATTGTATAACTATCAATATAAGACCGATGTGCGCACTCGATGCACAGTAAAACAGATGTAAAACGGCTGCCAAACATGCACCAAAACTTGAAAGTCATGACGTCTCGCATGGTAGAGAACGTAACAAAAAAAAATATAATTTATTTCAATATATCAGTGTCAGAGAACGAAAGTGCTTTTGCACAGACAAAATGTAACCTGTCTTCAACGCACGGTCTGAAATCTTTCGGGCAATGTCGAACCTGAATATCATGACACTTTTTTTTGATTCTCTGCAGGGTAACTGTCCTCTGCCTTCAAAAGCTAATTGAGAGCATTTTACATATCTAAGTAAACAGCCAAAGCTTTTTTATGAAGGAAGCCCAACATGTCTCAGAGATACCTTGATACATTCTTTGCCAGTTAAGCAAAGCGCATTTGTCATCCATTTTCCAGAGAGAAAACGATTGACAGTTTGTTAGTTATCGCATAAGCACAAAGTTATATTGATAAACACAAACTATATTTTTTTAATTAAATAATTAAACATATGTTTTTCACTATGACAAAACGTTTGTAAATAGAAATATATTAAGTCTACTTACTTCGGAAGGAAACATTTTTCCGCTCCCTCACTTTCAGCTGTAAAGGTCAAATCGTGATCCAAGAATTGACCCCATTGCATCAACATATGAGAATATCTTGACCGGCTTCTTTTGGCGCGGTCACGGTGAACAAGAAATTCYTGACTAACAAGATGGGGTGATGGCATGGGAGGGGCAAATGGTTGATCAGGAAATCCCAATGGATCTGAAAGACGATTATCATCGTAGTAAACGGCGTCTAGCATTCGTGTGAACGCTGCTGGMGCTGCCCCCCAGAATGGGTGGTCTAAGTTGTTGCACGTACCATCCAGCGATCTGTACCTGATATATAATTATTATCCGTTAGTTAAGATCGCGCTAATTTTATTTGCTTACAATAATATCAAAATTACCCTGCGAGCAGAGTGTATTTCCTTACCTCAATATTCCTTCGCGAATTTTTATTGAGGTAAGGAAATACACTCTGCTCGCAGGGTATATCAAAATGTATGTAATATTGTAATGAAAAAGAAAGGATTCACTATTTTGTCATATAATATCTATAAAATACTTATATTTCACCGTCACGTAAAATTGTTATTTTCACTAGTGAAAATAATACATTCCAGGGTTCTCTATATAGTGGAAGTAAGAAAAAAAGCTATTTTACGACATAATTTGCTTTCATATGTAATTATATGATAAACAGAATATTACATGCATGTTCGCTTGGATATACGAATCTTATCTTCTCGTTAATTGAAAATCTACGCTCACTCGTGAGAGATCTTTTCCACACTTGAAGATAAAATCCGTATCATGCACTCAAAGATAAGATCCGTATCTCCGCGCGCCTATGTAATATCCTCTCTATAAGACATGTAAGTACCTAGAGTGATAGTTGTTATCAGAGCAGTTCACTTTAGGCGCTGTACAATTGATGTTACGTATGATGTCGGAAAGTTTGGACGCGGAAGCCAGAGAACTGGGACCAAGCCTGATAGAAACARCGTCTGTACGCGATCGACCATTGTCACCTAGTAATAGAGTAGCGGACATTTCATCATAATTCATTTTTAGGTAATAGCTGCTAAGTTGTATTACAGTATTTAAGCTTTCAGTGCATAGCAGATCTATTTCTGCATACATTATCTCTTCTATAGGCGAGTGTAACAAAAAGTTAGGACTTCCTGTCTTCAAAGATGACCCACACAAACTGWGTCAGGTAGAAAGAATTGGGAATAACCCAGCCTGCTCTTCGACTCTGCTAGCTCTTTTGTTCTTGTTTTGTTGTCCTTACAGTAACCCCGTATACAACGAAGTGATCAACATTGAGACGTGTGAAAAGTTGGTAAASAGGTGTGTTCYAACTTTGGTTTGAACACTGTGAAGAAGGCGCGATGACTACACGAGTATTGTTTTGGATTCACACCGAACAAACTGTTCTACTATAAGAAAATGTGATTTTTCAAATGAAGTAAAATATTACTTCGTCAAGGAATGGGATTCTGGAGATTCCGGAACCCCTGAAAACACCACACGCACGCGCTATAGCAACAGCACAAAAATTCTCTTACCTAAGACTCGTTCAGCCACTTGCCTTTTAATATTCCTTATCACATTGTTAAATTTCAGATCTGCCGCGGAGATCTTCCGAGCTTCAGGCGATGGTGTGCGCAACATACGATGCAACCTAAACTCAGCAGCCCCTTTTCTTCCCCGAGAGCGCCCCGAAGGAGATGTTTTCCTCGGTTTTACTGACGAGTTCTTATTGATTACTTTGAGCGACGAATCAACAAACTGATTCCCGATGTAATCTGGTACAATACTAATCGAGACAATTGCGTCGGCGTTGAAGTTCAGCCGTCCACGCATCACTGCCTTGACTCGAAGATTCATTGTCTTATTTCCTTTTGATTTGAGACTTTTGGCTACAGAAAGTGATCCTTGTTTGGCATTCAAAAAGAAATAACTGGTATCAGTGCGTAGCTTGTACTTTACCGTTCCATTGATTGCGCGTGCAGGCTTATACACAGCAAGCTGAAGGATTTTCTGTCGTTTTAAGATGGATGTTGGTACGATGACTGTGTAGCGCTTTCTTGTGAATCTAAAAGTGTTCCGTTTTTGTGGACGTACTCGTATTACGACTGTGACTTGAGCAGAACTGATGTCATTGAGGCGGGCTTCGACTACCAATCGATAAACACCAGTAGACGGTCGTTTTGATAACATAAGAACACCTGAAATACATCGATATTATTAAAGAAACATTGTTTAGTTCAACGTATGTTGCACCATCGGCGCTGAGACGATGGGTTTAAAAACACTGAATGATTAGTACACACTACTATTGAACGTTGTYATTGCAGAACGCCTAGTGTCCACTTTWTGRTGTGCCAAATAGTTCAAAAAARATTTCCATTGTCCTAGCTTCTTCAGGGGATTGACCTACAGTACAACGGATGATTTGGGCGATTATATGGACACTAGGTATAATCAACCCCTTCAATTTAAGAATGGAGGCAACRGAGGCGGTGTGTACAAMAGRTTAACGATTTGTAGAGGTGCCAACTCTTTCTGATTGGATAACATAAAGAATCTCCCCGCATTAGAATAAGGCATATCATTTTTATTTGAAATGCGCTACATATTAAGCATTGTTCATTGGTATAAACACGAACCTGATCGTTTGTTGATAGAAAATACGGCTCGTTTCTTGGCTTGTATTCTATTGTTGATAGTACGGATGCTGTATTCCAGTGGCTTTGCTGTTCTTTGAGCCGTAGCGCGTACTTTAACAAGTCTTGTGCCCCGTCCTGCTTTTGTTGTTACCGTCACCTGATAACGTTTCTTGCTGAAAGTTATTCTTGCTTTTGGGATTTCTGTGAAATACAATGGGTTTCTTATAAAAGACCACATGAATACATTCATGAATCTTTGTGATCGCTTCTTTTGTTTTGCAAATAATCTCCTGTTGAAAGGTGCTTTCTTATTGGTTCAAAATAAAAGATGGCGAGTTTTCGTGAGAAAATCGTTTAGAGGTTCTTCCTTGCACATGGTCCTTTTAAGGTCTTACAAATAAAGGCGAAACATCMCTTTTTAAAATGCGACAACCAAGAAGTTTCAGAACATAAAATAATTATCCTTCAATAAGTTGTTAGCAGATACCTGAGCAGTGTTTACCATCACTAGACAAGGCAAAACCACTATGACATGCGCATCTGTAGCTTCCGGGAGTATTGACGCAACGTTTTTCGCATCCACCGTTCTTTAYTTTGCATTCATCGACATCTAGATACAACATGAAGATTATCATTAGATCTGTATCGYCGTATTGCGCTCTTAATAGTGTTCTGAGGTCTGTTGTTTTGTGGTTCATTAAGAAGCAGTCTTCAAGAAAGGCTGCAAGCGAGACTACAAGTAGAAGCAGCGTACGTTTTTATGGCTTATACTATGCACAATGAATTTCCATAGTGAAGTATTCAAAACCTGGCAGGCAGTAATCATATGAAAATTATACATCATTTTGTTAACCCTAAATAGGTATCTGTCCAATTATTTTATTGTTTTGACGGCTAGGAATTATACGTGGATATGTAGTTAATAGGTAATAGAACTCAACACCGTCCAATTAAAAAGACYAGTTTACACTTGCAATTTTGTCGTACAACACGAGCTGCAATTTTTTTTACGGCGATTTTATTGCACGTRTAAACAGTCGGCAAATTCACTATGATTTCACATACAAAGAAAATCGCCACGATTTGCAYTAAAATATCGAGCACTGTTCGAATTGGCTGCGACAAAACTGCGACTGAACAGCAAAAAGTCCTATTACATATAATAATATTTCCAGTGATCTTGACAAGAATTTTCAATGTTTAAAATTTTTCCAAAGATTAAATTAAATTTGCGATTGTCTGGAGYTGTGGATTGAAATTTTCTCGCAACAATTTCAGAAAGTGCTATGTATTGCGCGCGTCATGCGAGTGTTATGCTAGTTGTGTGCTATGTAATATTCTTTTGCCTATAGCAGGATAAATGAAAGATAAATGAATGGATGAATAAAACTTTATTAAGTATAAATCTCAGGGTGGTCTCATCAGGTATAGACCATSTGTTATTAATGGGAGCCTTGAGTACAATAAATATGGAATAACTTGCAGTGAACTAAAAATGCTACAGATTTACGTTTTTCTTACCAATGGCTGAGAAATAAATTTTAAATCCTTTGCCAGTTCGTCTTTGATCAGTATGATAGCGTATCCATATATCTCTACCATAAGATGTAATGTTACTAGGATGTCCTGTGCCACAAAACACTATGGTATGTGAGCCAGTCATATATCTATCTCCTGTTCGGAAATTCTGACGACGAGAGCTCACTAGAACCCAGTTCTTTATACACTTGCCCGAGGTAGACACAGGAAGACCAAAATGWTTATCAAAATGTAAATATACTAAGAATCCTTGATTTACTTGGATTTGCCATATGCATCTGTGTTTCGATGACTGCGCACTAGGGTAGCCTGGGGACTGTATTGTGCCTTTATGAGATCTGATCGTAATTGTTCGACGTGGACACCGAGCTGAAAATGCCGAAATGAAAATGCATTAGTTTGACCACCTTACCACAACTAATGTGTTTTGCATGACATGCAAGTATATTGATCTGTATGCACAGTAAAATGCTACAAAATCAAATGGAAATCACAAATGTTTGCAAAGTGAAAAGTTTCGTTTGGTTTTGCTTCAGTTCGTGGATTGCTTTCGCAGTGGAGAACTGCAAAAATCTCACCCAGTAGCTTCTCGATTTTTAAACATCTGAACTTTCTTTTTGGACATTGCCGATAAGTTTGTGTTGATAACCTAGCCTCCTCTCATAAACATGAATTAAATACAGGTCTGATAATTTTCTCCTCAGTCGTCCTTGTTAGCGACATCAATAACGTCCCAAGTCTTTAATGGTCTCTTTCACGGTTCACTGAGACATCTTGAAATGTAACAGGGCCTTTGCATAGAAGCAAAACGACTGTTGAGCGTACAATCATAGAAACATCCTTTGACACCTATAAACAGTCATTCACAGATATCTTTGATTGCACCGTCAACGGTTGTCTCGCTTCGATCCGCCAAAGGCTTGGCTACCTTTCAAGATGGCGCAGATAACAATGAAGGACATTATTGTGAGGACTGATGGACAGAATGACAACGAGCAACTGACCAATAAGACTGCAATCACCGCGTAGAAAAGAAATGAAAATAACAACACAGAGTAAATAGAATCAAAGGGCAGATACAACTTAAAGGTCAGACTTAGAACAGAAATTAAAATGAAAGAAGATTATTGAAAACATGGTGTCACGTCACAASTGTTATAGAACAATATGATATTTATGACTTAATGATCTTACTTTTTGGTCGAGTGCCGTAGACGTTATTCAAGACAAAAAGCCTGAAAGAGCAATATACATAATTAAAACAGAGTATATGAATAATGATAATTAAGTAAAATAAACTGTACTGGTTTTCATAAAACCRCGTAATAATTTCCAAAACATTTTTTTAAATGACTTTTGCATAGCAATGATATTTTAAAATTATTTCACGGTATTATTTTTAACAATCTATCAGCATACTGATACATGCTCATACAATCTGTGTGATAAAAGCTGTCACGCGTTAATAATGTTGTGATTTGAAAACCATGCACTCTAAGAGATCTTATGATTATTATGAAATTTGCATTCGATCCCCAATTAAATCAACGACTTAGAAATCATTTGTTTTGCATAATGGTCTATAATTTCCTTAAACATTTTAAGAAATCTCGCAAATCACCCTCGACCTTTCCTGCTTGCTGACACGCGACGTTTATATTCGTCAAGACGTTACACAATCAACACAGTGAAAAACGTTGAATGTATGCAGATGAAATTYAGTTGATAAACTTATTACTTTCATATATGATTCAGTAATATCCAGTGAAATTTAAAGTTGTTTAAACGCCAAAACGCTCTTCATGAAYGTTGTGTATTGCATTCAGTAATCTAAAGGAATTATAGACCTTAAATATACAACCTTTGTAAAGTAAAAATTATTATTAAATTAGATACATTGGTTTTGAAAATACTTACATAAGACACCAGACAAAAAGGTCCTTTGTGGGAGCCATTATTGCTTGGTTATCTTAACGGGAATGATTTCAGCGGCGGCGGACGTTTGTGGTTGGCATAAYAAAAGTGCACCGGATGTAGATCATCAACCGGATGTTTGTGACTGATAAGACAATGATGGCTAACTTACAATCCCAACACAGCAAAATATATATATATATATATAACTCGTTGATGCTTATGCTCCTTAATTTCCTTTGCAGTTCATGCGAAGGCAGCCGCGTAAAATGGTGAAAGTTAAAACATACATAAAATATATATTGACGCAGCTATTGTCTGAAAGACATCGGTAAAGAAACTATTTTTAAAAAGTGATAATGTACTATGTTGTAGTAAAAATACATGTTTATAGAT